AGCTTTCAGACCTGGGATGGACGTTACTGATGGAGAAAAAAATGACATGACGTTATATAAAATTCTAGTTGCTTTCCCACCCAGTTCACACTATTCTCCAAATGACATGTATTTGACTTGTGGTGAAAGGCTTACTCGGTAGCCCAATTCCAAGTATCAACAATAGACAGCTCAAGAAAAAACAAAACAAAACTGCATGCTTAATGGCAACCCTAGATCCAAATTTATCAAATTACAAACACGAATATCGCATGAGATGATGCTCCATCTCTCCTGTCTTCTACGGAAAGTCTCAGCGATGAAAAGAGGGTCGAAGAGGTTGGGAGTCACGAGACTGTCTTTCAAGCAGCCTCGCAGAGACAGTGCCTTGATGAGTTTTCCACAGTCTAGGATGTGCCCATGGCTTCACAGGCTTGGAAACCTGATCTGGCAGCAAAGCTGGAGCAAATTCACATCTCAGGGGTGCGCTTACAACTCACAGAGCACAAACTCTATGGACTGACATCAAGACTCAAGTACATGAATTTACAACAAGGACCATTAGTGTCGGATGGACTAACGCAGTGCTGATCAAACCAGCACATTCTCTTTCTGTGGACAAGTCTGGAGGGAGAGTTAAGTAATAATCAGAGGTGGCTTGGCAATGAAAAGGTGGGACAAAGGAGATTCATTAAATAAATCAAATACAAGAACAGAATTCAGATTCTAGTTGATTTACCCTGATGTTTCACACCAGAGAGGAGGCGGCTAAGCAGCTAAGGCCCCACCTCTCTGGGGTGGCTGGAAACCACAGATCTGCCTGTGTATCAACGAATCCTTGTGACTGACATATTTTTCTTTAGATATGTTCAATCGAATTCTGGGAGACAGTCAGTTCCCTAAGGTAACATTTGCTCTCTCTGCCAATGTTATTGAAAGGAATCATCAGGTTCATCCATTCTTCTTTTCTTTTTTTAATTTATATTTCTTGTCATTCTTTCTTTTCTATCTGTGCCAGCACCAACAAACAAGCCTCGGTCTCACCTCTTTATGGCAGAAACTCCTCAGCTACCTATCCAAGCCTGTCCCATTGCCCAACTCCAAAGACCATGAATATATAAGTCCAGCTTAAACTAGGATTTTATGCATGTGTTTTCCCATTCACCCCCCGCCCACACATACACACACTCATGCCAGGAACTCTCAATGACTCCTATTGCTTTCACAGTTCAAATTGCTTAGCCTGCCGTTCAGATTCTTTCATATCTGTGCCCAATTTATTAACATCCTTTTCTGCTTCATAAACCTTCTACTGCAGTCAAATCTATTGTCTCTTAATAGTCTAAGCTTAAACCCATGCTTCTACTCCTTCCTCGGGTCAACTCAAGATCTGCCTCACCATGCATTCCTCTGAAAGTCCACATTTGAGACTCATCTTCCCATTCATCAGATTCCTTTGGTATAAGTCTATCTGGAAAGTCATTATTATATGCTGATATACTATCTCCTCACTTAGAATAAAAAGCTTATAGGTGGGAACAGTACCTTTTGTCTTTGTTTTATTCTGTTTCTTTAGTTCCTTGCTATCAGGGGTGCTAAAAAAACTAGTGCTTAGAACGGGCCCTGTCCACTTGTGGGTAAAGCTACTACTGAACTTCCTTCAGAGCCTAAGATAGAACTTGAAAATATTGTCCTTAACTGAAAAGAGGAGCCAGCTAACTCCCTCGGTGTCCCTGGAATATTATAGCTCATGGCTTCTTCTGGGTCCGTGGAGTGACTTCAGAAAACCCATTTACTCCCCACAGCCTCACTTGCTCTCTGTACCGTTTGACAGCACAGTTGAAAACACCTTTCAACTATGTTAGTCTCACAGTCAGTCTCCAAGTCCAGGGCTAGCTTTAAAAATGGACTAGACCTCTGGTACATAGAGATTGTCACCAGGACCTTAAACAGCAGGAACGATACAGGCGGTAGTTACATAACAAAGTGTGACAAGGGGGTCCCTTCTACTTGATGATGGCGTTGATAAAAGTCATCGGTACAGAAAACGAAAAGGTGGATTTTTGTTTTATTGGAATAACAAAGGGATCAAGAAGGAAATAACCTTAAGCTACTTTAGCTACCATTTAGCTGTGCTGCATTCTTGCTGTGTACTCATCCTTTGGTCTCAAGCCTGCTGGGAAAGTGCTTTAAGACCACCTGGCATCTGTGGGTACAATGGGCTGATTTGCGGGAGTTTCTAAGACACGGTTCTTTCATTCCTACCAAGCACACTGCTCACGGGAGGACATCCAGAGGGCTGTCAGCAGGGTCTTCTCTGATTATGAAGGACATGAAAACACACACACGAGCTCCTATTTCACGGAATTTGGCACCCCCACATCAGAAATGTTGGGGAGCCATCTGGCTAAGTCTTGAAAGGAGGAAAGAGAAACCTAACTCAAAGTGGAGTAAAGGTGATAATCTCTCCGAGGAAGGAGGAAATTGCCAGATTAAACGAAGATAATTGAGCCTGATTAATTCATTATAAAAATGTAATCAATATAAAAATATTTATAGTAAAGAAAAGAACAAGCTACATTAAAATAAAAAAAAATAATTTCCTGGGCAAGAAAGAATGAATTCTTAGACGGTTATTTATAGTAAAGAAAAGAACAAGCTACATTAAAATGAAGAAAATAATAATTTCCTGGGCAAGAAAGAATGAATTCTTAGACGTAGGAGATCAATAAAGTGTTTGCAAGGTATCTGATAATCCAATACAAAAAAAATTTTTTTTAAAGGAGACTAATTATGCTTACACTGAATAAAATTATCATAATATATTCCATTACTTAACATATAGATTAATGCAAGATATTGGAAGGCAGAATTTTGCTAAAGAGATCCACCACTCAAAACAACACAAAACAGAAATTGTAAACAACTTTATATTCCTAGGAAAAGGGTTTTCTTTTAGTGAGTGTTAACTTCCTTCTTCCCTTTTTTGGGAAATAATCCTAGAGTTCTCAGACATCTGAACAAAGACTTGTAAAAAGCAGGGAGCCATTTCGTATATGCCTGCACACCAGCTTCCTCACACCGAGCCCAGGCTGAAGAGAAGCCGATGGTTGCTTTTTATTTGCACAAAAATATGTGCAAGAAATGAGCTTCCATAGCTTCTTCTAAAGCCCTTGTCAATTCACACACACACCCACATACACACACACACACAATTATAGTGTTTTGGCCCATATTTTCGGTTTTTACATAGGGCAATTCTCCTAATCCGTAGACAAGATTTGACCATGAAGGGTGAGAATGAGCTGTAGGCTGCCCGAGAGGGTAAACGCTGGGACCATGATCATATAATCTATTTAGTCTGGTATCTGGAAATGTGGTTTTGTTTTAAAATCTAGTCTCGATGTTTGATGTTTTTAAACAAGATATTCGGTCTACCAGTGAAACGCTGCCACGTTCCCATAGCTACACCTGTTCCGAAGCAGGCTGGGGGGCGCAGGGTCAAACGCTGCCTCTTTCCTCCGGGGCCCACCTTCCTCGTGGGAGGTGCCTACTGGCAGTTAGATTCCCCCACTTTCCATGAGTTCATCAAGTCCTCGCTTTGCATAAGAAAACTCTTTATGGGGAAATACATACTCATGATCTACCTCATACACCAAAAAAAGATTTCCAGCCTTTACTCAACTTTCCATGTACACACAGGGTAACCTACGTTTAAAATGAATTATTTTCACAAATTGAAAAATGGAAGAAATCAGATTTTTAAGAGGTCAAGTTTTCCACTCTAAGTGCTTTGAAAAAAATTACATTCTATAGTTATGTGGTAGGATATTTAGATTCTGAACATTTAAGTTACGTTAGAGATATTTGGGGATCTAAAATGTGTGTGCTTGCCTGCCAATTTTCACACCTGAAATTAACCAAAAGAATATCAGAACTAAAAATGTCACCTTGAAACCCACCACAAGGACTGTGATTGTACAGAGTATCAGACCGATCGAACAGAAATGGTTTTACAACCTTTAAAGTCTATGATTCAAATCATTGTTTCTCATTTGGCATCATACCTCAATTTCCTCTGGGAAGCATGGGCGGATGCTCTTGGCTGCACACATACATACTTGTTAATTCATCTTTCTATCCTCTTACCATCCATTTCTTACAAATGCAGCAAAGCAACAACAAGCCACCAGGAAAGCACACGCCGTAAATCTTATTTGATATGCTGCGCTTTATTCTATAATCAAGTGGTTAATCTTGGTAAAATAACAGGGTGACAAACACATCAGATCTCCAAATCTTCTCTTTTAAATAAATGCTTTCCCATATGCCTAAAGACTTGAATTAAAAATGATAAAACTTTGGCTATATGTTAACAGACCATAGAAGTGGGATCAGTGATCGAAGCCTGTAAAACCATGGCAAATGAAGTGTTTAAAATTTTAAGATATTTATTCACAGAACAGTGTATAGGTAGTTGGTGTATGGGATGCCACTCTAACCACCTGAGCCACACGTGCCAGAACAAGGTATAGTTAAAAGTGTGCTCCCATTCATCTAGTTTGCAAAGATACCTGCCTTTTACTAACTCAGACATTTCCACAGCAAAGTACTTTTTTTTTTCTTTTGTATGAAACCATGGAGTTAGCAAACGTTTTCCACGAGAAGTTTATAAGATCCAGAGACAGAGAAGCATCGATCAGACCGTCAAACCTCAGAGGGAAGGTAGGGGAGGGTGGGGGAAGGGGGAGAGATCAACCAAAGGACTTGTGTGCATGCACATAAGCCCAACCAATGGACACAGACACCAGGGGGGTGAGAGCATGAGCAGGGGGAGTGCGGGGGCAATGGGGGGATAAGGACACATATGTAACAGCTTAATCAACAAAGAAATTTAAAAAAAAGAAGTTTAAAAGAGACCCCCTCTGAAGCGACCCGTCAGAGAAATCACACCTGCTGGGTGGATGGTGGGTGGACCGAGTGAGAAACTCAAATGAAACCAGAGAGCGGGCGCCACGTACCTTGTCCCGGGGCCGCGCCGTAGAACTCGGCCGCGATGCGCGCCGCCTCCTTGCGGTTGCCTTTGACGATGTAGAAGTGGCTGAGGATGGCCAGGCTGATCTTCACAAAGAGCTTGAAGCAGAACAGGGAGAGGATGGTGAAGTAGACGTTGGACAGCTGCTGAGCGAATGGCCGGCCGTCTTCCAGCGCCGACATGGCTGCACAGGAATGTGGGCGGCGAGGCCCGCTCAGTGCCTGGCGGCCGTCCTGCGTGTCCTGAGCCCCGGGCCTGACAGCTGGGCTGCGGCAGGAATCCCAGCGAGGAGGCCTCCGGGCTATTTATACCGTCCACGGGGCTATTTATACCGCCCACGCGGGCCCGCGCCGCCCCATTGGCCGGACGTTCCAGGGAGGCCTGCGAGGCGTGCCCGGCGCCGCACCCCTGGCTTTCCACCCTGGAAAGAAACAGACGCCACGCTGGCCTCTGCTCTGAGCGTCAAAATCCGGGTAGTGAAATCGACATACACATTGTTGCCTCTTGTCTTATTATTATTATTATTATTTTGGTATGGAATTAGCATGAACACGTTGAAGGCTCTGTGTGCGGGGTCCCTGCACATGATATCCGGAATAGCAGGTAAAACTAAGCCCATCACGTCAAGCCTTGAGCGGGTCCTATTTGTAGGTCCTGAGCTCAGTCCTCAAGCAGTCCACAACTGGATGATCTCATCGAGGGCTCATCCAATTAGCCAGTGATGTAGCTTGGGCTGTTGTCAGAAAAAAAATAAAATTTTATACATGGAAAGCCATAGAAAATAACTTTAATTTTCATTCAGTGAACACTTTTTAAGCACCTACTATGTGTCAAACATTTTGCTGAATGCTGGGGAGACATAGAAAAATACAATATCCTTGCCACAAGGATCTCATGGTCTAGAGAAGGAGACAGACATCAGACACGTCCAGGTGGGGACAGGGTGTGGTGGGCGCACCTAGAGGAGCAGCCTCGCCCTGGTGCAGAGGAGTCAGAGAGGCCTCCCCGGAGGAGGTGACAGTGGCCATTCACTGGACCCAGTGCCACTGACTTCAAAGCACTGAAGATAAAGTCACAAAATGCTCCCCTCGCCTCGGGGATGAGGTCCTGCCAGGGAAGCAGCTGCGTGGCCATCACCCCAGGCTTCCCTGGGATGTGGTAATGGGGACCACACGCGGGGCGCCCGGGGCTGGGACAGCTGGCCCGTCACAGGCTCTGAGTCACTGCGCTGACTTCCACTGAGGCGCCCCAGGATTACCAACAAATCCCGCCTCAGTCACGTCTAGGGTTTCACTCCTTCCTCTTTACCAGAAGTGCTATTAAAACTGTCCCCACATCAGCTCATCGGGGGCCGGGATTCTTTGGGGCTGAGGGACACTTTTATTTCAATACACTGCTGGCATTTGGCATCACCTTTAAATCCCCATAGCTTTACTATTAGGAAAAAAAGACTATGATATTTAGGGTATGAGGTCAAGATGCCTGTATTTTCTGTTTTATATGCTCCTTCAACAACTTTTACCATCTCTAATTCTATCCCATCTAATAAAAGAGTAATATGTAAATTAACCGCCACTCTGCGACAAAGATGATGGCACCCATAGTGGCTGGGGCGGGACGCTGGCGGCATCGCCTCGGCAACACAAGCCCAGCATCTGCACCCTGGTCGCATGAGGGAGGGGAGGAGAGGGGCCTCCGGCCAGAGGCCGGGGTGAGAGATGCTGGGCTCGCAATGACGTGAGCCCAGCATCCATGCCCTGGCTGTGCGGAGGGAGGGGAGGGGCCTTGGGCCGTTGGCTGGGGCAAGGGATGCTGGCATCATTGCAGGCCGGGCTGTGGGACCCCGCCCCCGTGCACGAATTTCATGCACCAGGCTTCTAGTTAATTAATAAAAATGAAAACCAAATAGAATGACAGTAAACAAATTTATCCTATCTAATAAAGAGAGAATATTCTAATTGACCCTTACACCGTTTCAAAGATGGCGGCGCCCCACAGCCAATAAGGAGGGAATATGCTAATTGACTGCCCCGCCCTCAAAGATGGCGATGCCCACAGCCAATAAGGAGGGTATATGTTAATTGACTGCCACACCCTCAAAGATGGCGGTGCTCACAGCCACAAGATGGCGGCGCCCAGTTCCCTCAGCCCCACTGTAGTGGCAGGCGCGCAGCAAGGCTGGGCCCATGGGCCCGGCCACTCTGTGTGCCTGCCTTTGGAGACCCCCCAGTCCCCTCAGCTCCCCAGCCACCCAGGGCCAGCATGAGGCGTAGGCAAGCCTCCGATGGCGGCTTCCCAGCCCCGGCTCAGGTAACCAGGGCCAGTCAAGGCTTGCACTGCCAGCAGTGGCAGCAGCAGAGGTGTGATGGGGCATCACCTTCCCCTGATGCCCAGGTCGCCTCCCGCCCCTGAGGGCTCCCAGACTGTGAGAGGGGGCAGGCCGGGCTGAGGGACTCCCCCTCCAGTGCATGAATTTTCATGCACTGGGCCTCTAGTCAAATATAAACAAGATGCTGTATTTTTCACATTCTAGACCTTCCCAAATAACTTTATTAGTATGTCAGAGTCACCCTAAACATATGGTGCCCCTATCTTCTCGACATTAGCATTTTCTTAAAAATAAAATCTTGGTTAGTAATCTAAGTGGTTTATTGAGATAAAACTTTCATAATTTACATTATTGAGAGGACACTGTGGAGGGATTTGGTTGATTAGCCAGACTATACCAACTGTTCTAATCTGCCTATTAGTCAATCAGTCAATCAATCAAACCAAAATTGAGCTCAAAAATTGTGTTACTGGAATGTGTGACGTGAGGGAGGTTACAAGCACAGGGAGAAATCATTGCTGAGTCTCCTGTATGCTGCTCATTTCACATAAATCTTACTTGCTAGCTCTGTCTAGAGGGGTGAGTATCATTGTCTAATTTTAAAGATGAAAAATTTGGCTTTAGACAGCTTTAGTGACCTACAGAGCTCCTATGAGTAATTGCACTATTGGAACACAGTTCTGGCTCTAAAATACACGCTTAAGTCACTGCTCATCCTTTCTACTTGTAAGCACTTACAATCTGAAGGAGCACATGCATCGAGAATAAGAGAGCCACCCAGATTTCCCCCCTTTCTCTCTCTCTCTCTCTCTCTCTCTCTCTCTCACACACACACACACACACACACACACACACACACACACACTGAAGGACCAGTCTGAGACTGTATTTAATCGTGTACCTAAATGAGTGCCTAAATTCGTAGGGCAGGCTATAAGTGATGATTCCGTGAGATGGAATCCTGTTTGTGCTCCAGAAATAGACAAAGAAGAAAGAGGATGTGCCGCGACTGGGCTAATAGTTTTGGATTCTTTAAAGCTAAGAGTTGGTGAGTGACTCCCATAGAAACAACAGACAGGAAGGAGACAGAGGGTGGTCGAGAGTTAGTACATTAGAAACAATGAGAGTTCAAACCACGATCAATTGATTAAGAAGAAGAAGAATGAGGATGAAAAATAGATTAGATCTGGTCAGAGTAGTTCCCGGGTAACTTCCAGCTAAGTATTCTAATAAGATAATGGAGTGGGTGTAGTAAGAAGCTAGGAAAATTCCCTGACAAATGGAATAAGGGAAACAGAAAAAAGTAATTAAACAAGGCCACACAGTTTGCACAATTTACAGCCAGCTAATGAATCACAAGGTTTGGTCTTCCCTAAGCAGGACACTGAGGGCAGATAGTTTGCACATTGCAGACCAGCTGGGGCAGAAAGACCTAATTAGCATACCTTTACTGACTTTTTTGATGACATTCTTTAAAAATGAAGCTAACAGGAAAATAACCCCTGGCCCCTCTATATGCACATTTTGATGAACCGGCATCCTGAAGAACACATCTAGGAAGCGAATGACTATTCTGGTACGACTCTGCCCTGAGACCTCCTCTATGATCCCCACCGGTCAAAGGAAGACAAAAAGTCTCAAGACAAAGGACCCACATGTGCTCTCCCTAGAGCACGCCCATGCCTCGTATCTCTGCTCTTTTTCCTAAACTCGAAGGGTCCCCCCTAGACTTGCAACCTGGGGAGCAGCTGGCAGCAGCAGTTCATCCCGGGCTCACCCCCTGAACCTGTCTCCAAGGCCCCCTTTTTCTCTGACTTTCTCTCTCCTGTTGCTTCTTCTACCTTAGGCCCTTCCTTCGGTTCACTGTCCCCAGCTTTAATAATCACTCTCAAAAACGTGTGCTGTGAAATCTTTCCTGCACGACGCCAAGAACCCACACACTACTGGCCAGCCCCAGACAGACCGGCTCCGGGCGCAGACCCCATCTGGTAACATGGCAACCATAAGAGCAGTGAAGGGTGATCCTAGAAGTGACTCCCAAATGAAAAAGGTTCCTTGGCTTCCTCCTCCTGCCACCTTTCTAAGTATCAGCTTGGTTCCTCTCCACCACGTGGGTGTCAGAGGGGGTTCTGAGGCCCCCCCGGGACTCACAACCATTCTCTGCCCACAGCTCTTGCCCACCTCCCTTTAACATCCCAGGTGACTATCCTACGTAAATTGGCATTTTTGTGTGTGTGCTTCAGAGACATAATTTCATGTCATTCGGATGAGGAATAGGATAATGACTCTCAAATGTGGCCATATTAGTCTTTAAATTCTCACAGAAGAGAGCATCTCGTTTCCAGAGATTACAGGGCGCACCTGTTTTGCCTTAGCTACAGTATAGATCCAAGTCATTAGATTGAAAATGTCAATGGGACATGATAAACATTGCCTGTTTCTAGTGCTTTCCAGATGATAAATCTTAGCGTATTTTTTAAAATAATTTTACTGACTTTTAGAGAGAGAGGAAGGAAGAAAGAGAAGAGAGAGAGACAGACAGAAAGACAGACACATCAATGAGAGAGAGGAATATTGATCAGCTGCCTCCTACCCACTGGAGATCAAGCCCACAACCTGGGCATGTCCCCTGACTGGGAATTGAACCAGCAACCTTTTGGTGCATGGGACCAGGGCTAGCATAAGTATTTTTATGTAGAGGAAATATAGTCACTCCATTGAAATGACCACTTCCTTTTTATTTTTTTTTTACAATATGATCCCTTATTTTCTGGTAGAAATCCAAAGGCTCTAATTGACATTTTTATTCCTATTATTTAAAAAAAATCAAAACAACCCTCAGAACTACAGGCCTACACTTGGAACAGCGAGGTTGCTAATGTTCTGTGCAGTGGCAGCCATCCGCCCAGCCCCCGACAGGGGCTTGAGGGGGACTTAAATGCAGGCCGTGCACTCTAAGGGCTGTTTGCTGGTGCTGCTGAAGGTCAGTGACAGCTGATGAAATGAAAAGGGAAACATTATGCAGGTTGTTTTTGAAGGGTAAGAGCTCACTGCTGTGCTATTATAACCCTCCTTTCTTATTTTGTAAAATCTCATGAGGAAAATAGAGAGGCAGATGAGGCTCTCGGCTGGTTAGAACACCCTGGTGCCTCCCATGCTTGGGCTGCGTAGGGATTTGAAATAAAAACAGAAACGTTTGCACTGTAACTTGAAACCCTTGCAGGGAATTAACAGCCGAATTTGCCTTATTCCATTCAGCAGAGGCTATAGATGCTGTTTAATTAGCTTAACCTCACTGACTCAGAAGCTGTGCTCAGGGAAACAGACAGCAGACGCTTGGCAAAGGCCAAGTGGGGTGCCTGGTCGTGGCTCCCGTTATGGGCGTGAGCGCTGAGATGCCCCGCTCCCAGACAACGTGCTCCCAGCCGAGCACAGGGGCGGATGCCCCCAGTCCTGTCAGGTGTCCTTCCTTATGGATGAAGAATACATGCCCATGGCGACTGTCATCATCGCAACAGTTATTCTCTGCAAAGGCAGCCGGGGTGAGAGCGATTCCGTTCTGCTTGACCGGACCACCTGGGGGCACATTCTTGCTTCTGGCATCTAGCCACGCTTCCAATATAACGAGTGAGAGAGTAACTGCCGCCAGCATTATGATAATAAGTAAGAAAACAAATAGCACCGAGGTGTCATTTACTCAGATGACATCCAGGCTTGTTGGGGGGAAAGTGACGGGCTTTTTCCCACACTCAGCACAGGTCCCATCCTATGAACTGAGGCACGTTACAGACCACAAAGGTGGCTGAAAGCTGGAGTTCGACATATTTGAAAGTTTCAAAAACAGAGTCCATTTGAAAATGAACACCTTCCTCGTATTTCCCAGGTGCCAACACTGTTCTAGATGCTGTATCAATGACAGGGACATCTTTTTTTTCTTTTTTAATCCAGCGCTTTTTTTAGAGGATCATCTCTCGTCCATCCTCAGTCTATGTACCTGACCTCCTGGCTCCAGAAAAGGACAACGAGGCAATGCCAGCTGCCTCTGGGCTTCTGCGGGAGGCCTGGGAAAGATGCTCTTACTCAGCAGGGAAGTTAGGACGGACGCATCAGCCTACAGGTGCCGGACCAGCCTCGCCAGCGAGGACACAGCCTGCCTGGGAACTGAGCCTATGAGAAGTAACATGAAGTAATAAGTTCCTCTGGTGGCCCATCAAGGTGTGAGGATGACAGTGATAACAACATCAAGATATACGACAGCACCTCACCTTACCTTGTTGTCATTGCCAGCATCACGCCTTACATGCATCATCACTGCTGGTGGTCCAGGTGGCTGAGTCGTCGTCCCTGGGAGGCTACAGACACCCAGCCACCGTATTCACATTCCAGCAGCCGGAGGAAGGAGGGACACGGAGCCAGGCCCCTCCCTGTAAGGATCGAGATCAGAAATGACACCGGTCACTTCCATGGACGTGCCATTGCTAAAGCCCAGCCACAGGGCCACACCAGGTGTGGGACAGCTGAGCAATGTCATCTTCACTCCAGGTGGCTGCCTGCTCTGCTAGAAACCCAGCGCGGTGTGCTGGCGGACAGCTGGCAGGCTCTCTTCGCCGTGGCTCGGTTAGACGGACGTAGGGCCTAGTCTCAGGGCTGGATCTCTTTCCCTGCCACCAGAGTGCAGGTTATCCCAGATACAACCAGCTCGACGTGAGGGAGAAATAAGTTTCTGTTTCTTACGGGTGCACCGTGTAACCATAAAAGGACCCGGGCTTAAAAGGGAACGGAAACCATGGGCAGCGGGGCAGAGAGGAGACCCAGGCCCTGCAGATGCAGCCCAGGCACTGCACTGCCGCCAGGAAGCCCGCCCCTGGCAGACCTACAGTGTGACAAGGGGGTTTCCAGCCACCTTGGTCACCTGCTCTTTCTTGTCACTGAAGCAGCTCCATGGCATTCCCTCCATGTGCTGAGCCTGCACGGCCATAGCATACTCAGCCCCCACGTTGGGCGCCATATGTGCCGAGCCAGCTCAGCCAGGTTCGGTGAGCCTGAGAGGAGCGGTGAAGGATGGAGAAAAGATAGACAAGAGAAGAAACTGGGTCTGGGTGGGATGCTGTCCTCTCTGATGGAGAGCTAGCGACAGAGCCACAGACTACAAGCCGAGTCTTTATTTTATAGCCAGATTCCACGAGGCAAAGTAAGGGCGTGGTCAAGATGTTTACAACGTTCCCGTGGGTTTCAATTCTACTCAATTACATGCACCTGAACTCTATCGAGCCCACATTACTCAGCCACATGGGACCACAGGTTCAGACCATCAGGTCAAGCTTACAATCACAGCCTTTGGCTATAATTGTGCTGGGAGGGCTTTGCCCTCCAGGCTGGGACTTGCACGTGGCTTTGTCACGAGAGGACCGTGCCCTCTCATTAGTCCAAGGCTTGAACCTGTCCAAACGCTGAAGCCACTCCCACACCTCCAGGCCTCCCTGACCCCGCAGTTGGCTACACGTGCTCTTCACAACCTTCTCTCCCTTCTCGGCACTGGCTACAGCTCAGGGTCATGTTTTCCGGTCTGAAGCCTGTCTCCTGCCCTGGGCTGAGCCATGGGCTCTGGGATGAGTGCTGTCCCCTGCCGTCTACCTGGTAGATGACATGCAACGGCTCACGCAGGGCTTGGCACACAGGAGGCTCCTTGATAAACGGTGGCTGTCAGGAAGGTGATGCTAAGAAGCCCCTCATCTCCTGGAGAAAGCTGCAGCGCCTCGAGGCCCCGGGGAGGAAAGGGAGCTGGGGTCACCTCCTCTCTGTGGCCTTACGTTTTTGTCATTTACTGCGTCACTTCAGCTACATCCAGCAGCTGGTTGGAGCTTTGGCGTGGCCTCCAGTTTGAATACTGGGTCACTTACTGCTTTAGCTTAGTCTGAAAAGGAGGGGTTGGGGCAGAGCTGCCATCACAGATCAGGCACAGCTACAGCTTCCCTGGCGGTGTGGGCCCCCTCCCCCCAGTGTCACAGGAGGGCTGGCAGGAGAGGACCACAGGAGGCCCCAGTCCCTGCTGTCACATTATTTGTAGGAGCAATGTCCTCCCAAACCCGGAGACCTGGACCTCTCACCGTAGAGGGCGGCCTGTTCACCCCAGCTCCCCTCACAGGCCTCCCGAGGGCAAGCTTCTCATACCGGTTTCCCATTCGTCCCCTCACTGCCCGCCCCAGCCTTCCTGGCACTCTTTGACTTCAGGTAAAGGACATAATGGAAATAATTAACAGGTGTCTATCTACAGCTCATCTTTAAGACTCTCTCTCACCTTCCACGCTGCAATGTCCTCAAGTCTCTCGCTGTCTCCTGGGCTCGCTGTGTTTTCCTATTACCTGAGCCATTCGTTTTTTATGAACTTTACCTCAGTGCTCGGTTCTACCTAAATGTGATTATTACATAAAAGCTTGGGGGGTTGGGGGAAGGTCTAGCCGTGACATTGATAGCAGGTGCAGGTCTTTCAATACCTGTTTAGTAGCAGCGTTTGCCTTAGCAATGGCGCTACGGATGGCTTTCCCATGGTGCATGCCTGCTCTGCTCCGGGCGCTACCACGGGCGGTTTGTATGAAGCCGGCAGCAGATGCATTTAATCAGTGGGTCAGTCTGCGCTGCAGGCTGCTCTGTGATCTAGGGCAGCGATTTGCAGGAACTTTTCAAACACCCTGTACCTTTGCAGTCAGAGCACTGACCTCCTTTCCCTTAGTCAGATACGAAAATGACAACGGCCAACACATCGAGCCACCCAGTGTGAATGAACCAAAATTATGCCAATTTTTCTTGTCAGATTGGTGGAAATTCTATTTCATGGTGTGTAGCAGAATTTTAGGAATTAGTGTGTGTGCCATGAGGTGAAAAAGGTTGAAAATCGCTGTTCTAAAGAATGAGTCGTTGGAATGGCTCAGAAACAGAAAATTCTCTAAATTTGAAATTTTTAAAATTATCATTTGCATTTAGATAGCATTCCGTCATGAATATAACTTAAATATTATACACACAAATAGACTGAAGAGAAATTTAAAATTTTGATAAAGTCCACAGAATTGGAGAGTTAAAGACAACTCAGTTTTTATTTGTATGAGAGGATGTTTTAGTTTTGTAATTATCCTTCTATTAAAGAAAGGGTCCATTCACACCACAAAATCATGGCTATTTTGTTTTAAATAGAAAAGAAATAGGCATTTAATGGCAGTCCTCCCACTCTCCACACCTCTGTGGCTATGACACCTGACATCCCCTCTCCCCTCCCCCCTTCCCCACCACTTGCAGATCCAATTCTGCAGCTGATCCCTCAGCCCTGACTACTGTAAGGAAGATTGCTAACAGCATCCACACCCCTGAGCTCTGGCGACCAGCAGTTAATCAAAGACCCCTCACTGGGATCTGGGAGTATCCTTAGTGACTTCTGAGTAGCCATGTGTGCCCCCAAATTGCAATATTCCCACCCCATTCTCCTCCGCACCTTAGACAGGATTGCAAGTCCGCCGAGGTCTCCACCTCCACCTTCAGCCTCATTATCCAGCACAGGACCCGGCAGCCTTGCCTGAGTACCATGGTGCCTGGCGCCTGCAGGGACACCTCGTCCTGCTCAATGCCCAGTAGTGCCGCTCCTGTAGTTCCCCAACATGGTTCCTCCTTAGAACCAGGAAACTGCCCAGAGAGTACATGTAACACGTCAAGGTTATGTGGCTAGAAAAGCCGACCGTAGAGAAAAAAATTTGCCAAGAATTATTCTGTTAGAATGACTGCAAACATCAAACACATTCTACATCTCCATCACCTACATATTTTATTCCAGTAATACTCTCCCCATACATTTAAATAACTTTTAACAGATGCTACACACATAAGAAGTAATTCCTTTCTTAAAAACACGGACCCTGGGCTAGGTAGGAGAATGTCAAGTTCACTCTGTGAACCAAAGGCAATGCGGATCCGCCCCTCTGTATCCACGGCCATGCCCGGGGGCTCAGTGGAGACGGAAAGAAGAGATGCGGCTGCAGGCTGGCTAAGGGCTTGCTCTTCCTCGGTCTTCATTTTCATTCCAGAGAAGGAACACGTGATCTGCTCACTGCTTTCTTCGTGGGATCTTTCTGGCAAGAACCACTCGATGTCAGGAATCACCAGGGATCTTTCCCTGCAAAGTTACAAAAATGACCAGCTGCTAAATACGGCAACTTACAGTCAGACGTGCCTCCTATGAACGAGCACGGTAAGGCAGAGAGGCGCCTGCGGGCCGTGAGTAAGTCAGGCCTCATGGGCTGCCTGTTGCCTGACTCACAGCTGCCCGGGGAACACTCCGGGGATGTGGCAGCCTTTACGGTGGACCAACGCACAGAGCCAGGCCGTCTTCTCGGCATCTGTCACGGAGCTTGTGCCAAGTCACGAGTCCCTCACGTCTCCACCTGCTCCTACAATGTCACGTGCACAGTGATGACCGGCTCCCGCAGGGTGACGCACGATGAGAACACGGAAGCAGGATCTGTGCTTCAAGGGTTTCAGTCGTCTATTCCAGTCACCTGAGTGGGGCTTCCAACTTCCTTCCATGCCAAGCGTGATCGTGCGAAAACCTTGGAACACATTCCGGCATCCAGAAGCTAAAACCTGTGATTCTCCTGAAGCATGTTTCCCTTCAGAATAGACGTTTCAGAGTCAGGCTCTAAAGAATTCGGATGTTTCCTTCTTCTTTTGGTGCATGTGGTTTTTAACTTCTTAGTATTCCCAGGAGTTTAAAAAGTTTCTCAGAAAAAAATAGTAATGCTAGGTATTAGAGTCTTCCAACCTCCTCTTCACATAGTGATTTCCTTTTCAGTTTTACAGATAAAACAAGGAGCATGGGCGTGGTAACAGGTCCACACAGACAATGTACGTGAAATCATGGCCTTCCCTGGCTGCTCCCCTTACAGGGGGGTCGGAAGAGCTGCCGACGTGCTGAGGGGCTCAATGTTCCTGAATAAGCAGCGAAGGCCCCTGCCACCCACAGGGGATGTGTGTAGAAGCCGAGGCTGTGAAAATCAATCCTGGGCAGACAACTCCAGGTCAAGGACCAGCCCCATGTGTCCACTTGAGAACGGGACAGGCAGGCCTGAGGCGCATGGGGAACAGAGAGGGGAACCTGAAGGCCAGGCAGAATAAAGGAGGGCGCAGTGGGGCAAAGCTCCTGAGCAGCCAGCACCCAGCAGAAGCCTGAGTTCATCCAGAGGACTTGGGATAAAACACCCTCTGCCTCCCCTCGCAGAACCACAGCGCTGAGCCTCCCTGGGTTTGGGGAGAACTCCTTGCATCAGGGGTCCCCAGAACCAGGGTTTGCTGGCTCATTAGGGCTCACCGGACTCATTGTAGTTACATGGTCCGTTTATGACAGGAATGGGATACACAACAGCCAGCAAAGGGAACTGCGGG